CAGTGTTGAAGCAATGATTCTTCAACATCAACTTCGATGGACTGGTCATGTTGTGTGGATGCCTGATTATTGTCTTCCAAAACAACTACTCTATTCCAAACTTAAAAATGGAAAGCGTAATGCTGGTGGTCAACAAAAGAGGTTTAAAAACTGCCTCAAGGCAAATCTAAAAAAATGTAATATAAACACCAATAATTGGGAAAGACTGGCCTGCAAGCTTTGAAGACACTCGAATTCAGGACACAAGGGAGAAATGTGGTAAGAGGAAGGCACTCTTGACAAATCCACACCGTGATCAACTCCCACCTGGAAACCAATGTCCCCACTGTGGAAGGACGTGTGGATCCATAACTGGCCTCCACAGTCACTTACGGACTCATTGTTAAAACCGTGTATATGGAAGACAATCTTATTTGGCTATGAGTGATCACCAAAGAGAAGAGAAGAGATGCATGCAGCATCAATCCCATTCTAAAGCATGTGGAGTGATGCTCAGCAAGTGAGCCCCTCCAAACAACATGCCTTATGCTATCATTTGGTATGCTGTTTTTGAGCAGGCTTGAACACATACTTTGGGGTCCCAGTCATTTAAATGAGTAAGCAAAGAAATAAATCACGAAGGAACATGTGGAGGTCTATTTCTTCTAGAAACAATGAATCATGGTCTGTGGCCCAAACACGTGTTTCCATGTCCCTTTATTTTCTTCTAATTCCCCTACACTTTCTTTCGCCACCCCTGCCAGGCTTCAGAGATGTGCAGCAGTTTCAGATCAGTACGTTAGAGCCTTCAGAGTCAAACCCTGGTATCCTCAATATTTGTCCCCAGCATGTAAGTGGTGCCTCATGCTGTTCCCCTCTGTGACCTCAATATCCAATTCCTGTTCCCCTTCGTTGCTTCACTTGCAGGAATAATACCTTCTGTGGTGAAGATAATACCCTGCAACATCTCACCAATACATGAGGTAGGCCTGATCTCTTCCATCACACTCACGCACTCACACACACACACACACACACACACACACACATACAGAGCTCTGCTGATAGAGGTGCTTTGTACAACCAGCACGTTCATTGAATGCAGTGTTCAGCAGCACATCTTTCCTCTGAATTATTCTGTTCATCCCTTACAGTTTTCACGGAAGGAGCTATGACAGACAGTTGCCATGTTGTTGCTGCAAAGGTGCAAAATGTATGCAGCCATGTGCATTGTTCTCTAACTCCTCTTGCATTCAGAAATGTGTGTCTATGTGTGTATGTGCGCGCACACACACACACACACACCATGTCTTCTGTTCTCCTTCCAAACTTGATGGATATTTACAGCCGTCCTCTTATGTTTCGTTCAGCAAAGTTGTTCTGTGAGTGCATTTCCTTATCGCTGGTCATCAACGTTTCAAAACATGATTAAGCAGAGAGAACAGAGGCAAACAGTGCTGACTTAGGAGTTTGTTCTGCGGCACTGGCATATACAACAGTTAATTCAAAGTAATTGATTTCTGCATGAATCAGTTTGAAGATTACTGCACTATGGTCTAAGATAAGCCCCTTATGAACACAATTCTAGCTTTTTCAACACAGGGTGGCAGGGAATGGGATTAATGACAATGACAGCATATTACATAAACAAGTCCTGTGCTTTAAGCATGCTTCTTTTCACCATAAGCTGGGTTTCTAAAAATTGTTACATCTGCCTTTGCATCAGTATAGACCGAGAGATACGGCTCACGCGCACACATTCCTCAGTCATTGACAGTAGCGTTGAGGGTGGACTTTCATGTGCAAAGCGAGCCACCACAGATTAAATCACTGCAGGCATAATGCATCAGATCAGCAGGTGTCATCTCAAACACAACGCTTGGGGCTGAGTCGCATCTGATGGAGTGTCATCAAATGTTGAGTAACGGGTAATGAAAGATCAAACGATATAAATGCAGATGTGAACCAACCATTATCTATGTATCTGAGGATCATGGGCCCAATGCAAGGGCTCTACCATTCATCAGCCAATGACAAACAGACATGCATCCATTGTAATCACCCAAGCTTCTGCATGTATGTGGCAGAAATTCCATTAAAACAAGAATCTTCTACAAGATTCATTGGGCTAATTTGCAAGCCATTGCTATAGCTCTGTATGCGCAAGTGTTCCAATTCAAGGACACTGCAGGGAGGGCCTATAGCACAGTGCTAGACCATCTGCTTTGCATGCAGAATGTCCCAGGTTCATTTCAAAGGACCAGGTGTGCAGCCTGGGAGTCATTTTGTACTCACAGCTGTCCATGAAGGTGTCCATGAAGGTCTCCATCTGGTACATCAGCTGAGACCCTACCTGCCTGCAGACTGTCTCACCAGAGTGGTGAATGTTCTGCCTTGACTACTGCAATACGCTCTACATGGGGCTACATTTGAAGGTGACTCGGAAACTACAACTAATACAGAATGCAGCAGCGAGACTGGTGACTGGGAGTGTCCGCCGGGACCATATAACACCGGTCCTAAAGGATCTTCATTGGCTCCCAGTACATTTCCAAGCACAATTCAAAGTGTTGGTGCTGACCTTTAAAGCCCTAAATGGTCTCGGCCCAGTATACCTGAAGGAGCGTCTCCACCCATCGTTCAGCATGAACACTGAGGTCCTCCTCAGAGGGTCTTCTGGTGGTTCCCTCACTGTGAGAAGTGAAGTTACAGGACTCGCTTGGAGGTTTTCAAGCAGAGGTTGGAGAGTCATTTCCCATGTTGAGATTCCTGCATTGCAGGGGATTGGTCTAGATGACCCTTAGGGTCCCCTACAGCTCTACAATTATATGATTCTATGATGCCCTTTCCCAAAAATCTGACCCACCATGAGCTCCTTTTCTCTTCACTTCTCCCACTTCACTGCATTTCCAGTCCCCTCTTTCCTCATATACAGAATCACTTGTTCTGCAAAGGCTTTCCTAAACACAGCACCTTCGCCACTATCTGTGTGCTCTGTTATGCGTTAATCATAGCCAACTCTCACTACACCAATGTTCTCTCTAGTTCTCAAATTATATGCACTCGGGGAAGGACATGGTGTCATTTCATTCCTGATTAGAACAAAGTGCATATATAATTCCAAAATGGAATGCATGAGAGAAGCTTCAGCACTGGAAAAAACTTTGGCATGTCCAAGCTTAATTCTCAAAGCACAGGTGAGGAGGTAAATCAATTGCTTATAAGAACCTACCCAATCCCTTTTCATTCCCTCATTGCAACTTCTTCCTACCAGCTTGCCCAGCCACACTTTTGAATCCCATACAAACCTATTTACAACCAAGCTTTGAGCTTCCTCAGCATGTCATCTCTGTGGGTGATGCCTCAGTAAGTCACTTCTCTGCTGATCATCTCTGCGCACCGTCTCCACACATTCCAGGAGCAACTTTAACTCATGGCTGGACTTCAAATCTAAGGCTCAGTGAATGGTCTATGCCAATGATCCTACTTTCTAATAAAGATGGGAAATCAGTTGCCTTTTTCTTTGCTGCCAATCACATGCAAGCCAGGGCAGAATGGGAAGATCATTTTGGGCAAATTCATTTATTTCCTGTATACTTGGGAAAGAGGAGGTGGGGATGAGGGGAGACTCAGCTGTGAATTTATTGACTCTCCCTTAAGAAGCTGTGGAGCAGTAAATTCCACCTTTATGGTGCCTGCTAATTAGACATTTATTTAACTTTGTTGCTTTTTTTAATGACTCGCTGCTGTTGTTTGAAGTTCGCTGTCTATTATTTGTAATAAAAACCTCTGTCACTTTTTCGCCTCATTATTCCCAACAAATAGTGCATTTCGCAGCCAAACCTCCCCCACTCCCCGCACCTCACAGACTATGGCTTCCAGAGTTTCAAAGACCAGCTGTTATCATTTTGTCGACGGAGCGCTTTTGAGAAACTTCTGTCGCGGACTCAGGCACAGCAGGGGCTGCTGAATAAAATATCAATCCCTCAAAAGGGAATTAAGGCAAAAGAGGAAAGCCGCCGGGAGAAGTAGGAGGCGAAGGAGGTGGCCAAAGCTGCAGTTCTCCTCCCACCCAGGAATTTTACTGAGGGAGCCCTTAAGTGCGCTCCTGCAGCAACTAGTCTTTCCCTCAAACTAAGTCCTGTGGCAGTCAGTGGGCTCTACTTCCGCGTAAACATTGTAGGATTACACCATCTAATTCTATAACTTATAAATTCTGGAGCCTTCAATACAGGTTTCTTAACCTCTCTGGCAGCAGCCTGAAGATTTTTCTGACTGCAGCTGCTGTTTCCTTCGGAGTGTTGTGTCCCCTTATTTCACCAAAGTGAAGCTTCAGCTGGCCATTAAAAGACTGCAAATGGGCAGAGGAGTGAACAAGCTGTTCTCTGAACCAAGTCAATTCTGCACAGCTGCCTAATGGCTAAGTCAATTAACAGGTGAAGCTCTCCCTATCGGGAGGGCTTTTCTTCTGCTGGAACACAGTTCCGACACCTCTCAGATGGGGGCAATTTCTGATGATGATAGCGCTGCTTGTTTACAAAAACCACAGCATCCAAGTGGATGGCAAGAGCAAAGGAGTGAGGCATGCACAGCAGCAGTAGGAGTGGGGCAGGGGGCCACTCCAGTTGCCTCATGAGACAGAGAAGCAACAGTCAAGGCTTGCCCCTTCGAGGGCATCTGCACAGCACAAACCAGACTGATGCTCGGAGGCTAGAAGATGAAGGCAGTGGTGGCCGGCTGCTGCCATGGTTGTGCACAATGTGGAGGATTTGTGCTGCGTAGCAGTACCCAAGCATTGATGCTTTGCATGGTGAGTCACCCACAAAGAAACAAGGGTATAAAGCTGCCCAGAGTGGCTGGGGAAACTCCGCCAAATGGGCGGGGTATAAATAAATTATTATTAATTATTATTATTATTATAAAAGAGCAGGATTTCAAGTCACAGTCTGGAAGAGTACATGCACACCTTTCTCCCCATTAATGAGCGAAGGCGCTGAGTGGCAGAAACCATCTGGATATCCTTATAAGATGGTGTAGCCTAGCACCTTGTCATGCAATGTTGGTTTCAAGATGCTGTCTGCATTGGCATCTGGGTTGGTGACTGAGGCAGTTAGTTCCGGCACTTTTTTCTAAAAAAAAAAAAAGGACTGCCTATCGGCATTACCTCATGTGCATGGATGATGGGAGTTGTAGTCCAGCAACATCTAAGAGAGCATCTCCTGGCTATCTGCATACCAGATTTCACCTGAATGATTTTTACCTTCAAGGCAGCTTGTAGAAGGTTAAAGACCTGTGGGTATAGGATGGTGTCTAAATTCAATAATTAATAAGAGCAAGCAACATTTAACACAGTGCCATGCATAAATGTAAGCTTAGATTATGAATATATTTTCTAATTCTCATTGCGTATCTCATTGGGATTTAATATTCAGGCTGGGCTGGCTTGCCATTTTGAGCCAGGGAAGCCATAGCACTAGGATAGACCAGTAATGTATCTTAGAAAGTTTCCAAGCGCCACCCCAGTAAGTTCTGTGTGCCTCTTTTCAAATGACATTCATACTTAAATGATACCAAAATCAAATACTGAGCATGCCAATATTCTTTATTCCACATCTAAAGTAAAATGAATAATTACAAGACAAGACACAAGTATTTCTCCTAAACAGCCCTATGGGAGAAGTTACCGCATAATACCTTCTACTGAGTTTCAGTTGAAGCATTGCAAGCTGGCTACTGGGCACCCAAAATTGGTACACTCACTAGTCTTATTAGAGGGAAGCTCTTCCATTTCTCCCTCTCTCAAAAAACAACTTTCTCCTTGATTTCTTTAAAACTAAAAGACAAAGAGCTGCTGAGTCCACAGAAGGCAGCTTCCCTACCTTCCTGCCCTTACTAGACAGCCCAGCAGAGGCTTGCCATGGAGTTTTAAGGAAATGTGGGCACTGAAAGTAGCTGCAGAGCAGAGATTGTACGATCTATAGCTACAAACGCAAGCATCTGTCCATTTTGGTTCTCCTAGCTTCCCATTTCCCCCCAATTCAGTTCTCTACATTTCTGCAGTAATGTGGGATTTTGTGTTGATTTCTCCCAATACATATGTTTTTTGTAGGTATCTTTGATTAATATCCACATTCTTGCAATTTCCTGTAATACACGAATTTTTGCGAACATTTTTTCATTGGAGAATTTTGTCACAAAAATCTGATAGTGTGAATTTGGAAGGACGGCTGTGGTTCAGTTCTCATATTGTTATGGAAAGTGAAAATTTGATACCTTTAACAGAATCAAATCTCTCTTCTGTTCCCATTCACAGCAGACCAGAAGAATAGGACACAAACACGCCTTGGCCACCTTGAAAGTAAGGAAGTTCAAAGAAAATCTGCATCCCAGCACTTGAGTATTTCAAAATTTTATCCTTTGATCATTCTTTAAATAGAATTTCTTTTCTCATAAATTGCTGAATAATTCATTTTTTTTCAAAAAAGGGATATTTTGTTATATACAATTTTAGCTACCAATACACTTTTTCAGTCTATCCACCTACCTTCAATTTAACACATACCAGAAGAGTGCCTTGTCTAATTCCACTATTTGTACTTCACTGCGCTAGATCCAGAAACAGTGCAATGAAACACATACAGTGGTACCTTGGTTCTCAAATTTAATCCATTCTGGAAGTCCGTTCCAAAACCAAAGCATTCAAAAACCAAGGCATGCTTTCCCATGGAGAGTAATGCAAAATGGATTAATCCATTCCAGACTTTACGTAACACAGTCACAAAAACCAAACAAAAAGCCGCAAAAACAAAAAGGCAAAATAAATAGCAAAAACAGACAGACCTCAGTGTAACACTCAAAATGGAAGCATGGCACTCAAAACAGAAGCTTAACACTGAAAACAGAGCACATTCGGCTTCCGAAAAAAGTTACTTCCTTCCGGGTTTGCAGTGTTTGGGTTCCAAGTTGTTTGATAACTAAGGTACCAATGTACTTCATTTGATTTTGACAGTGTATGTTGGTAACTGTTTTAGCAGTTCCAACTTGAACCAAGCAATCATTGAGACGTAAGGCAAGACTTGACAAGTACATTGTCCACCCCTGCTCTTTACCATGAGGTGCCTTCTAGACATTGCTGCCCCCATGGTCAAGGTTCAGGGATGATGGGAGCTGTAGCTCAACATCATCAGGAAGGTTCCTTGTTGGCTAGCGCTGGTGTAGAGCTTCAATACAGGACAAGGCAAATAAAAGACATCATTCACCACTTCTTTATTTAAAACAAAAAACAAAACAAAAAACATCTGTCCATTCACATTTTGGTCCTTTTCGAGTATTTCCTTAATCCTACAAGAGACAAAGCAACAAAAACAGCTCCTACTGCAACTACAAGGGCTCTCTCCCATTCTTTTGACAAGACTGGACTACTCCAATGGGAACCTGCAAGAGATAATTAATTAATTAACCGGCTAATTAATAACCACAGAACTCTAGTTTTCTTGTGATTCAGCGAAGTCCTCAACAGAGAGGTGTATGCAATACTTTTGTACATCAGCATTTTCACACGATCCACCTTGCCATATACCATTTGCCCACCACTGCCATATTTCTTCAAATTCTTCTTACAAGGCTACCTAAGGAGAAGCCGTTTTGCCCACACATGCCAAGCATATGCCACAGAGGACCAGGACACCCTCTGGGCCCATCTATATATATGTATTCCATGGAGCAGATTTCTTTAGGTACGTAGTGTAAGCTTGAACCATAAGCACATCCATGCAACTGAAAGGTTACTGCTCAGAAAAGGCTTAGAGGGCTTTTGTTCTTGCTCTTTATGACCAATATAGGAATTTTAAAAAAAACAAAACCCAAAATGCAGCAGTGTAGACAACCCTTAGCTTAAAATTTATGCATCCGAGCCAGTTATGAATTTGGCAAATTAGATCTATATTAGGAATAGTAAGTCTCCAACACACAAATACAGTTTCAAAGTCATGCCCATGAAAAGAATAGGACCCAATTCATCATGGTATTTCATGGCAACAATCATTATCTCTCCTCACACACACACACACACACACACACACACACACACACAAAAATAGTATTCCCATCTCAATAGCTACTTCCCTCTCACCTTTCTGTTCAACATTGTCCTGTTCTTTCTCCATCTGGAAGTCTACAGGTCCTTCTGCCATCACTAGGCTCCTTGGAGTGTCCTGTAGGGCTTGGTTCTCAAGCGATCTCCTGGCTATTTGACAAGAGAAGTTAGCAGGCAAGCGATTAATACAGATGTTCCAGCTCTTGTGCTGATCATGTCTCCCCTTTCCTTTCAGTCTCAGGATTACCACTGAGGCACTCAAGGGAGCTTTGCATTGAAAGGCTGCGTTTGAGGCAGTCGCTAGGCTTTCTGGGAAGCCATAAGCATTCAGCACCTTATTCGGCTAGTTACTCCTGCAGAGCAGCACACTGCGCTAGATGCATTTCCACATATTGTCAGATCTCATGCACAAAATTCCACATAAAGATCTGAATTGGCCTCCCACAGAAGAGTAATCTAGGGACGGCTGATGCATAAATCCTCGAGGCGACACTGCAAGTTTGTTTAGTTTTGCATCTAGCAGAAAGCACCTTGAAAATTTGTACAGAACCGTCTATTCATCACAGCCTCCTCTCTGCATTGGAGTGGAGAACCACAGGCTCCAGGGCCAAATGTGGCCATCAGACCTTTAAACTCTCTACAGACCATGGCCCCTCACTGTTTTTGCCTGGCTGGAATATGGAGCTAGATCCTGCTTGCTTTTTGGGTCATTTATTCTGCACCAACAGTTCCTAACTGGTTGCCACTGCTCAAGGGAAGTCAACTCTCTTTGTTACAAGAGGAAGAAATTCTTCTATATCCTCTTTTAGCAGTTTTGGAAGAGAAAAACAAAATGGCAGTTGAATAGCTGGGGAGCCATTACCTCTGATCCTAGGACAGTGAACCATGCAGGATTCCACAGTGGATGGGACACAAGCAGCAGCGCTGCAGTGGAAGTAAACCTGGCAAAAGACAGTCAGACTTATTCACGCCTGTTAAAAGTACAAATCTAAGAGGGTTGTTCTATACACTGCCCACCTATACTCACACATCCTTTAACAGGCATACTGTGCATTCCAAGTCAATTGCCCCACCCAAATCTGGTGTTAACAGCATTTAACCAGACTTTGCTATGCTTAAACACAAGTAGATGGACCTTCACTGTGGAATGGTCCTGCATTAAGAAAACAAAATGACTTGTCCTGGAGGATCTGGGCTGGGACCCTCAAACCTCCTTCTGGCTCTCAGGACTCCTTCCTCTCAGGCCACATCCTTCACCAGCCCTACTCCATGCCCTCCCTGAAAGCTTTTGCTTGGCTCAAAACGTGCCCTGCAACTGTGTTAATGCTTCTTCTTTGCATAGATGGAGGATAGAGAGTTACGCTGTGGTTTTGCATGGCTGGAATGCAGCCTATAGTATGAAGAGATAAAAGTCGCATTTGTTGCTCTAGTCCCCACTGGTATGTGGCCCTCAAGTGTTGCCCAGGAAGGCATGTCACCCTTACGCCAAATGCAACTCTCTACCTCTATTGCATACAGTAGAAGCAAAAACAGTCACATTGTGGAAGGTTGTGTGTCTGGACCCAGCTCCTTGGGACAAGCTTCTGCCCACAGCTGTGAAATTCTGCACAGTGAATGTCTGTAAAACACACTGCTGTTTAACAAGTGCATACATAATAATTTTCTCTGGCTGCCCGAATGGTATATGCCCAAAGATGGAAAAAAACAGTTCCAATGAAAGATGATTGGCAAATAAAATTGATGGAAAATATGGAAATGGCGGGACCGGAAGAATAAGAGATCAAGGTGAGAGACTTTCTTTTAGTAGACTGGGGAAAATTTGTTGAATATATGAAGACCAATTGTATGTAATTTAAAACATTAGCAAGAATGACAAACATGAGCAGTAAGAAATAACTTAAAGGGAGTAAAAAGGTTAAATTTGTAAATAGGTTTGAATTGGTTATGCAGTAAGATTACGATATAATAGAACAAAGCACGGAGGGGAGTCAAAGAAAATGTAAACTGACTTACTTTAGATTTAATTCTTGTTGTTGAAATATTGTAAGATGGAAAAATGGAAAAATAGCATTTAAAAAAACCCAATTTTCTCAACGATTCATGATAGATGGCTCAGTCAGTAGAGTATCTCAAGGTCATGGATTCTGGAACCACGTGGGGCCAAAGGGGGTTGGGACTAGATTACCCTCATGATCCCCTTCCTACTCTACAATTCTATGATTTCATGATTCCGTAATCTAATTCAGTAATCTATTCTCATGCATCACTCTTTCACAAGCTAGGACTCTGGTGAAACTGGGGAGCTCTTACTGGTCCAGTAAGTGCCTGCCGGGAAGCAGTGCTGAAAGTGCTGATGACAAAGCGTTGGTAGTGAGATGGAAATTGTAGCCCTGAAACTGCTCCCACGAGGATGAACCGAGTCTGGTAGTTGTCTCCTTCATATGGACACCTGTAAGAGAGGAAAATGCTGCATTATGTGAAATGCTCTTCAGTAGTCTCAAATTCCTAGCTTATCTTGATGGTCTTGCCTGTTCATTAAGATGGGCCACTGAGGCCTCTGCAGGGGGTTAGTACTTGGTGTGGCCCAGCACTCATGAAGAACCAAGACAAGGTCTGGGTCTGTCCGCTGCAGGATCCGTACTTCCAAGTAAACAGAATCCTTCAGGAGCTTGACTACAGGATAGTCCCCATTAGCATAGTATTTGCTGTACTGTTGGTCTGCAGAATACAAATATTGCAAATGGTTACACACCACCAACTGAGAAGGATCACAACACCATCGCTTTAAAGGTTTTTATAAAGCTATGCTATAGCTTTATGATGCAGCAAAATAGATATTTTTTATGAAGAAATGAATTGGCCATGGTTCACTGACTTGGTGGATGCTGTAGTTCAGGCTTCGTCAACCTCAGCCCTCCAGTTGTTTTTGGCCTACAACTCCCATGATCCCTAGCTAGCAGGACCAGTGGTCTGGGATGATGGGAATTGTAGTCTCAAAACATCTGGAGGGCCGAGGTTGAGGAAGCCTGTTGTAGTTCATTTGCAGGGCCCAAGGCACCCTACTCCTGCTTGTAGCCTCTTGTTGTGGCTGTCTTACAAAGATCTAGCAGCGTGCCCAATTAATCCCTCCTAATCATCAAAATGTGTTCGAATCATGTGCAGCCTTCTATTGTCTTTTTCCTTGGAAAGTCAGTAGACACAATAATCACATTGCACCATGCACAACTCTTAGCAGGAAGTTTGCTGTTCTCGTGAAGTTACTTCCCCGTAAGTCCCTTTGTTCCAGTTCAGTCTTCGGGGAAAGTTTGAAGATTGAGTTTTAGGCTTCCAAGCTTTGTTCACACTATTGCAGAGGGATGCAGACAGCTACTAAACAGCCGATTCTTTACAATACATGCAAGTAAGAAGTACACGAAGTGGAGAATAGAGGTGTCAGAAATTATGACAGCCATAGATTTTCCTCTCATTGACATGATGACACTTACTAGTAGCAATTCTAAGCTCGAGGCTGAGTGGGCCAAACTGAGTGATTGACGGTGGAGGCGGCAGGGTGAAGACTTGTACCATAAGTGGGAGGAAGCTCCCTGTTGAATACCTGCAGCTGACATGCAGTCTAGTGAAGAGCAAAGATAAAGAAGTTAGGTATTGGGGAAGAGTCATAGCTTGGTAGTAGAGCATCTGGCTTTGCAATCAGAAGGCTCCCGATTCAATCCAGGGAAGGACCTATCTCAAAACTTGAGAGCTGCTACCAGGCAATGCAGACAATAATGTGCTAGATAGACCAATAGCCTTAACACTGTTGTTTCCTGTGTGCCCAGATGCCATTATGTGTGAGTGCCATTTACGATTACCTGAAGGTGCTATCTTGCATGAGTGATCCAGTGTTCCAGTTTTTGACATCATGGTGTGCTACCAGCTCATTTGCATATATGCCCTGATCGCCTGCTCCCTGTTTTTAAACATTAAAGATTAGTTGGGATTAATCCAGTTTATTTGCCCTGCAATCCTGCACCCAGAGAAGAATGAAGGAAACCTAAGAAGAGTCAAACATTTCTGAACCATAAAGTGCACTCTTGATAATACCTGTAAATTTAGAGGGGTTGCATCAATTGCTCACTTTCTCTGGCCTTAAGAAATTCAGAGCTTCCTTGTGGATGGGAGGTTGCCTGCTCTTGATGACGTTACAGTCCTTCTGAAGGAGCCTATACAGATTGGGCTCAGGTGGTTTGGTGGCACAGAGTGCTTCCATCAGCTTTGGCTGGTGGCCCAGCCGTGCCCCTATCTGGGTAGGGATAGTCTAACTTCTGATGTCTATGCCCCGGTAACCTTTTGGTTAGATTGCTGTGATGTGTTATACCTAGGGCTGCCTCTCAAGACGGTTTGGAAACTTCAGCTAGTGCAGAATTCAGTGGCCAGGTTGCTCACCAGAGAAGACTGTCTGAGCATATTGCACTGATCCCGGCTCAATTGTACTGGCAGCCAATGCATTTGTGGGTCCAATTCAAAGTGTTGATTTTGACCTAGAAAGCTTTAAAATGGTTCAGGACCATGGTACCTCAAGGATCACCTCTGCCCATATGAACCAATTTGGTCATCTAGCAGATTACTTTCCTCAGTAAAAAGGTAAAGGTAAAGGGACCCCTGACCATTAGGTCCAGTCGTGGCCGACTCTGGGGTTGCGGCGCTCATCTCGCTTTATTGGCCAAAGGAGCCAGCATACAGCTTCTAGGTCATGTGCCCAGCATGACTAAGCTGCTTCTGGTGAACCAGAGCAGTGCACGGAAAGGCCATTTACCTTTCTGCCGGAGCGGTACCTATTTGTCTTCTTGCACTTTGACGTGCTTTCGAACTGCTAGGTTGGCAGGAGCAGGGACCAAGCAACGGGAACTCGCCCTGTTGCAGGGATTCGAACCACCGACCTTTGGCAAGTCCTAGGCTCTGTGGTTTAACCCACAGCGCCACCCGCATCCTACTTTCCTCAGTACCTTGCCCAGTTCCTGTCTCCCCTAACCCCTGTACATTTTCAGATCAGAGGGCGTATGCATGGATTTACAAGGACTTTATTAACACAGTCCATAGTAGCCTATGCTTTTCTGTGCATCTCTTCCCACTATGCCTGGGGATTTCAGCTATGGAATGGCCATGCAAGAGGCTCCTTTTGTTGACCCCAGACTTACCTAAAACCAGAATATTTCATCCAGGTATAATAGTGTGGTGCAGTCAAAGAGAAGGGTTATAGCTCAGTAGTGACTTTGCACACAGAAGGTCCCAGGTTCAATCCCCTGCATCTCCAGGTAGGGCTGGAAATGTCCCCAACCTGAAACCTTGGAGAGTTGCTGCCTGTCCATGTAAATGATACTGAGCTACAAAAGTGCCAACTTAGCCCCGTAACTATGGGTGCCCGGGGCTGTGGGTGCCATGCAGCGTGCACCAAAATTTGTGGGTGCCCAGCCCCTTCATGGGGAATTCTTTGGGTGCTCGGGCACCCAGGGCCCAAGCGAGTTGGCACCTATGCTGAGCTGGATGGCCCAATGGTCTGATGCAGTGTAAGTGAGTTTGCAAGCTGGTTGCTTAAATCAGGAGCTTTCAAGGCAGGTGGTTTTGTATTGGATTCCTACCAGAAAAGTAGTTCCGCAGGAAGAGAGTGGGAATTTGTAGAGGACAAAGGCACCGTTCTTTGTCACAGGAACACAACCACTGCCATATCCACTGACAAGATGCACAGAGTCCAGAATTAATGATGGCAGAGTCACATCCCTGGACACTGCAATTGAGAAGTAGCCATCTGGAGTGCAGTGTGTAGTCACTGAAAAATGAAAGCCAAAAGCATTAGCATGGAATTCCACCACATACTTCTCATGGTTTCTAGAATTAACCATCCTTCTTTTTGTTGCCACCTGGCTCCATATGGAAGGCAACCATTTCAGCCATAGGAGATACCACGGCCACGGTAAAGAAAACATCCAATTCCAGCAAATTCCAAGGTGCACCTTTTAAAATGTGGATTTTTTAAAAAAAATGCTTACCACATAACTAGATTTCCTTGAGCCTGCTTCACTTCTATGGTTCTTCCCCTTCTCTCCATATAAGCAAGGGAGAAGAGTTGCTTAATTAGACATTGCCTTGCAAAATATGGATTTGTGCAGCTAGGATGAAAGTTGTTTAGACTGGAAATTCAGTTTCCCTTGACTTCTCTGGAACGAAGTGTTTTGTTCTCAAATCAGAACCTCAAAATATGCCTAAAGTACACTTCTAGTGCAGGTGTCTTTTTTTTTTTTAAGAATGCCCAGCCTACCTGTATTGCCATAGTAACAAGGAACACGATGATCTTCAGTGGTATAACAGCAGCCTCTCTCTTCACATTCTCCCTGGGACACAGGTTGAGTGGCACAGGGAAGGCGGTCTTGTCTCTGCACTCCCTGGCATACGCTGCTGCTTGGAACATCTAACGCTGAAGGCCAGAGTGTTAGGGTTTGTTGTTACATCATCCCACTCATCCTAGGAACACATTTCTGCTATTGTTGAAATACTGCCTTTAGCCTGTCCTACATCATTGCAAATATGGTAGTCAGCATTTTGGAATGCTCCAAATCCACATTTAGAAGAATCATGGGAGGGATTTATGGTGGATGAAAAGCCATATTTCCCTCCCTTACAAGACACAACAGAATTTATCATAACCTGCAATTCTGTATTGACACAGGGTGCCCTCTTCCCCTTTCCCACCTGATGTCCTATTCTCAACCAATAATGGACTTTACCTTTGCTTCTTTCTGCCAGGTAATTTGGGGTGACATTTAGATTCTACAAGTTTAGATTCCAAAGTTGCTATACCTGGCAAATGGGTTGGGCATTTCAGGTCCTCTTCATAAAGAAGCACTTTGCTAACCGCTTCCAGTCCTTCAATCCTGAGAGTCATTAAGAAGTAGCTGTTCTGTATTAACAGACAAGGCAAGGCATGTTTGGAGACAGAGATTACTCCCATAACTTGCACGCTTATTAGAAGACAACAGTTTTCTACTATGCAATTATAAAAGCCCATTCCGCACGATTCATGATGCAAGAGACTGTTGAGGAATTCATTCATGAGTAACCTGGTATGAGGATCCTTCATACATCCACCCAATTAATGTAACTTATTTCAGTGACTCACAACTGATCCTAGTGTGACTGGAAATATTTGTCTATATAGTCCTTTATAGCAACCCTCTATGTCCCAGCAAAGGGTCAAGTTACTACCTTTTTGATAAAGAAACATCCAGTATAAGGAACAATGACCACTGTAGAGCCTTCTGGTTTCTGAGAGATGGAGACACAAGCAGATCTGTCAAGAGGATGGGACTGGCCTTCTGAATCTAGGAAAGAAATTGGTGCCCTCTTTGAGATCTATCCATGCAATGTCTTCATGCCAGGGGTCAAAGCTCTCACCCTTACATTGATTATTCTCAAACGGTTTGGCTCTAGTCAGTACAATACTTTTTAATCAGTCATGCCCTACAGTCTTCAAGCTTTCTCTGATGTGTACAAATATATTTTTTCCTTATTACCTAGCATACTGATCTGTTGTTGAAATATGAATCTCAACCCAGTCAAAACCAGCTTCTTCAGTGAAACTGCAGATTAATTCTACTTCTCTATTCCTTACAGTATCGCAAGGCTAGTCTGAAGCCAAGGTAAGATTATCGCCCCATTATTCCAACTCTGGTGTCCCCAGATTGTATGATACAGACCAACCGCCATCAAATGCCTGTTAGCAAAGCCAACACAGCTCCTGATAACAAATATGTAGGCATCAAGCAGTCCTTCATTTCCAAGATATAAGGATCAAGTACACACTACATTCAAGTTTGTAAGGTAAAGGAAAAGGGACCCCTGACCATTAGGTCCAGTCATGGCCAACTCTGGGGCTGCGGCACTCATCTCACTTTATTGGCCGAGGGAGCCGGCGTACAGCTTCCGGGTCATGTGGCCAGCATGACTAAGCCGCTTCTGGCGAACCAGAGCAGTGCACGGAAACGCTGTTTACCTTCCTGGTGGAGTGGTACCTATTTATCTACTTGCACTTTAACGTGCTTTTGAACTGCTAGATTGGCAGGAGCAGGGACCGAGCAACAGGAGCTCACCCCGTCGTGGGGATTTGAACTGCCGACCTTCTGATCGGCAAGTCCTAGGCTCTGTGGTTTAACCCACAGCACCACCCGCATACACATTCAAGTTTGTAGAGCTTCCTAATTCTTATTATGATGGCTTTCCTTCACAGGCTCATGATTTCCTTGCCCTTCCAGTGTTATAGATAGATGGCAGCTGCTTCACAAACCCAGGATGCTCTCTGCTTCTTTAACAGCCAAATGCAGAAACTTGAGTGGATCATTTACCACCATTGCCTTCCCCTACCCCAAAAAATGTAGGAGTGGGATGATAGGGAACCTCTCTCATGTTGAATCACTGCCTGGGTTAACGCTTCAGAGCTTCAGTCAGGAGGAAAACTGACCAGGTAGTACATTTCTCTAAAGCCTTTGTAACTGTACTTGTATCAAGGCCTCCTAGCTCTTTGACACCATCTGCAAAGACACTCTAGCTTTTACAAGCACAGTTTCCCCTCCGTAGTCCTATGACCCACTGAATCACCACGATGGTTTAAAAACGAAGCTCTGATTATTGTACTAAAGGCAGGCAGGTTCCTATTCTTCACATAAGAAAAGGGTCTGCTTGAACAGCAACCCTGTAACTAAGGACAAATTCATAAAAGCAGATACAGTATAAAGAGTCGCTCTGCAGCTGTTTTTTTTCCACTGGGAGTTGGAATTTCCTCTTGCAACGCAAAGCCCAAATTAATGCAAGGACAGCAGCCATTTGAGGAACCACTAGCAGCACCCAATAGCTTTAATATCAGATCAGTGTGAGCTGCACCTGTAAACAGGCCTTGATTGGTGTAGCAGCCAGCTGGGTGTCCTCTGCTTGGTTGTCCAAAAGAAGCAGGGTTTAAAGAGGAAACTGGAGAACAGAGGCCTACAGCCAATCTTCCCAATCCCACATCAGTCTACTAGACACACTCAGTCTAGTCAGAGGGAATTGCAGAGGGAAAGGGTATAATTCACAATACACCAGAAAATATAAAGCTTCTGTCTGAAACGCTAGGGCCAAATCCCCCAAAAGTCTCCTTTAAAAAGCACCTTTGATAAGAATCTGCTTACCTCGAACAGTAAGAAAGTGAATTATCTCAGAATGGTTTGCAGGTAAGGTGAAGTGCAAGCTGTCCCTTCCACAATACAGTGTTCTACTGCTCCACAATCTTGGCAAATCTTTAAAGCTACTAGGAGCACCCAGAACAAGAGACACGAACAAACAAATAATCCAGAAAAGCATTGTGCCCGAAGGAGCCCAAAGCCATTTTACTACTGTCATCTTGTCTTAACAACAGTGACCACGCCTCCCAGAAGTCTTCATATATAGGCTTAACTAAACTGTGATTGGACAGAAGAAAGGAAGGGGTGCGGTTTCTTCAGGCCAGGTAGAACCACAACGTAATGGAGACATACCTGCATTATAGCCAGCAGATGGCAGTAATAGGGTCTCTTCTAAAGGCTTGCAATGCTATGAGAATGCCTGGAGGAGGAGAAAGAAGAGCATCCTATTGGGAAGAACGGAAAGAAATCAATGTACATCTTTCCACTGCCCTCCTGTCTACATTCCAGAAGCACCTGCTCCATATCTATCCAGCTTTAGTTCTTCTGAAATTAGTTTTCTAAATCTATCTATATTTGCCAATGCAAAATAAACAAATTTCAAAATGGCAATAAAAGAGACAGCATCTGAAAATCTCCTCTGCTCTTTTACTGGGTCAGAACGATAATAAATTGTATGTGCGGGTGAAAAACAAAAGATGTAGATGAATGGGAGGAGGAGGCAAAAGACTTGGTTTGCACAAAAGCCAGCGGTCTCTGTTGCCAGCTCAGGCAGTGCTGAACAATGTAGCAGCCTGCTTGGTAAATGATGCGAATGATTTCTATAACTGTGAGGCACATTCTTCAACATGTTATGTTTTTCAATGTATTATGCAGTTTTCTGATCTTTTCTTGGAAGACTCATTTCGTAGTGCATCTATAGAAGCAATAGGGAAAAGAATCAGAGACGGAAAATGCCTGCAACTTGCAACTGAACCCTCTCCAGAGTTAGGCATGCTGGCTTTGGGGCATCTACCACTTGCATAGGATTGGGCTGTCAGGATGCAATCCAAAAGAACTTATTTGGGAGTAAAGCCCATTGAAATCAATGGGATTTACTTCTGAGTAAACATGCATAAGTTCACCGTGCACTGGGTGTCCAAACCACCAAGGAAGGATAGACGGCCCTTAACAAGTAATTTGTAGAAAGTTAGACATTGAGACGGTTTTGATTTTCCTGTCTCTGCTGCTTTGTAGCAAGAGAAGTTGCATTTTTAACATGTTAAAGACAAATAAGCATCTATCAGGAAAGGTGATGGCAAAGGAATGCTCTCTTTCCCAAAGAAACAGAAGCAGCTGCCACAGAGGATCCATGGCTCTAACAGCTGAAAGTGCCCAAAGTATTGCATTTGCATGTAAAAGGTCTAAGTGAGGAACCAGAGGCTCCCAAAATTTTGCTGAATTACAACTCCCATCAACCCTACCAAAGCATAGCTAAAGGCCAGGAGTGATGGGAATTGTAGTTCAGCAACATCTGGGGAGCCAAATGTTCCCCACTCCTGAACTAAGTTCATCTCTCTGTTCAGTTAAGCAGAGTCTTGTGCTAAGCACTCACTGCCAAGGATGTGGGTGGCGCTGTGGTCTAAACCACCAAGCCTCTTGGGCTTGCTGATCAGAAGCTTGGCAGTTTGAATCCCCATGATGGTGTGAGCTCCCGTCACTCTGTCCCAGCTCCTGCCAACCTAGCAGTTTGAAAGCATGCCTGTGCAAGTAGATATATAGGTACCGCTGCTGTGGGAGGGTAAACAGCATTTCCATGCACTCTGGCTTCTGTCATGGTGTTCCACTGAGCCAGAAGTGGTTTAGTCATGCTGGCCACAAGACCTGCAAAGCTGTCTGTGGACAAACAGTGGCTCCCTCAGCCTGAAAGCGAGATGAGCGCCACAACCCCATAGTCGCCTTTGACTAGACTTAACTGTCCAGGGTTCCTTTACTTTTTAAATCTTACCTAAGCACACACTACCTTACAATCTAACCCACAAACGTTTTAATACATGTATACGATCAGAGATTATTCAAACTGCAGGGTTACCAATGGACCAAAGCAAGGTTTCCAAACTTGAGTCTCCAGCTGTTTTTGGACTACAACTCCCATCATCCCTAGCTAGCAGGAGCAGTGGTCAGGGGTGATGGGAACTGTAGTCCAAAAACAGCTGGAAACCAAAGTTTTGGGAACTCTGGACCAAAGAAAGCAACCTGGCTGTTCTTGTGTCTTTTACCAGTGGCTTGATGTGAAGAAACGGGCAGACACACCTTTTCACAGCCAGGAGATTAACATTATTATCTACTAATGTAAGCACATCAAGATAAATGCAGCGAGAAAGGCCTGTTGAAAGGTCTGTTCAAAGCAAATCCCTATTTAGTTTACAAATGTGGAAAATTCATAAGGCTGCCATTTTTTATGAGCAGAAGCATTCTGCATCAGCTGGAATATAAGCAGCATTCACCATACTGATGCTCTTTCTGCCACGCAGATTCCATGTTTACACACATAAAAAATGCTGTGAAAATGCTTTAAAAACACACACACACATTTTGAAAAATACATTGAATTTTGAATAGCTCACTGTCGCCATCTTGTGTCACATTTGTATATTGCACTTTACAACACATTTAAAATGTTTTATTTGCAGCTGTGTAGCTGAGTCCTTTGTTAAACTTTCTGATGATCAATCCTGCTGTGCACAAGGCCTCTGTTTGTGAGCAGGTGTCAACACTAGAAAGTCAGGCTCTGTTTTTACAGACCAATCTTATTCTTCCCCCTCCATTTCTATAATAGATAGATAGATAGATAGATAGATGACAGACAGATTAAAAACCCTGAAAATTAAACAAAATTGATTTCAATGGAATTCTGAGCAGGAAAACACAAGATCACAGCTTTTGCATTTAGGAAAGGAGGTGGACCTGCAATGAGCAGAAATGCAATGCAGCTCCCATGTGTGTTCTGTAATATTTGTATAAATGACAGGCTTTCCTATTGTGCAAAGGAAACAAGGCTTGAAGGAATGGGACCAGCCCACCAAAAACCAAGAAACCATTTCATGCACTGTACTGCACCCATATGTCTTTGTGACACCCCCCCCCAAAAAAAAGGGAGTAGGATCCAGGAACCCATGCTAAAAGGCATTTGATGCCCTCCCCAGCCCCAGTGTTTCAAGCTGTGAATCAGGCAAGGAAATATATGCAGGCAAGGGTGCCAGCTTGAATAAAATATTGGGGTGGGGAGGTAAGACCCACCCTGAATAATCAATCACATGATGCAGTGTGTGTGTGTGTACACTCTCTCTCTCTCTCTCTCTCTCTCTCTCTCTCTCTATATATATACCATATTTTTCGCCCTATAGGGCGCACCGGCCCATAGGACGCACTTATTTGGGGGGGGGATTTATTGCCCCCAGCCCCAAAGAGCAAAGAAGCCATGACAGTGAGCGGCTTCATTTTTAGGGCTGGGGGTCCGGGAGCGAAGGCGAGGTTGCGCAACCTCGCCATCGCTCTCGGAGCTTGCGGGGCTGGGGGCAGGGAAAGCCCGAGCTTCCCCCGACCCCAGCCCCCAGAACGGGTCCGAGAGCGATGGCGAGGTTGCCGGGCTGGGGGGATAGCTTCCTGAAGCCTGGAGAGGGAGAGGGATCGGTGCGTACCAACCCCTCTCGCTCTCCAGGCTTCAGCGAAAGCCTGCATTCGCCCCACAGGATGCACACACATTTCCCCTTCATTTTTGGAGGGGGAAAAGTGAGTCCTATAGGGCGAAAAATACGGTATATATATGAATGGCAATGCTCATTAACTTTGGGGAGAGGCTCCCTCTAATATTTTAGGGGGGGGGCGAAGGGACCTCAGCCCATAGGACTTGGCTCCTCTGTATGCAGGGAAAGGTGCAGTGAAAACATCCAGGAAAGAAAGAGTGCAGAGCTGGTGGAGAGGAGAGGTGAATGGCATAGCTGGCTACCTTCATTATGTCCACATGTGCAGTTGACCAGTTAATTGAGCAAAGTGAATTCCCCCTGGAATTGGGATTAAATTGGGGGGGGGATAATTAGTCCTTGGTGGGGAATGGAAGACAGGGATTCAAAGATACCATAGTTTTGGTCTGCATTAACACACACACACCCCAAAAAAGTCCATGTTTACTCGTCTTCCTCTGCACTGTGAAAGGAGAGCAGCACATATCCTGGCTCTCTCTGATCATGTAAAATTCATCATTTTCCTCTTCCTTTTTAGTGCGTGGGCTCCAAGGGAAAGCAATAAAATTGCACATTTCTCTGGCACTGAGGCTGCTGAACATTGCAGTCATTAGCATACTACCTACAATAAAAGATGAAAACAGGGTAACTGCGGAAAGCTGTGGACATCACCAGTGACCCTCTGCCAAAGTAGCTCCACCCCAAAAATCCTACTTGAAGTCTTCCATTAATTTTATGGCCAAAAGTGATTTTCTCTCAAACATCCTCTGCAGAAACAATCTTCTTCCCTGTTTGTTTTGTTTTTGTAAGATTGTTTGCTTATGTTCAATTAAAGGGGGAGAGGAACCTGTGGTGGGGACTTTTTAGTGCTTCATCTGATCCCCAATAGTATCCATCTGTCTTGGGAGACAATGGAGAGCCCCTCCAGGGGTGAAGTCAAATTAATGTATTATGAGCACCTCCCTGGAGTGCAAGCCTGGGCAGTATGTATGGAAGTCCTAGTCTGCTCAGATGATCAGCCTTGCTAATGTGGTCCAGTGGAAAGTAGAGCAAAGCGTTTGGCACCAGCTTGGTTGCAAGAGTTGCCAGAAGGAAGCCTACAAGGCACCATCCAACCACCTTAGGGACTGCACTCCAGATTTGTATTGGGTTTACTCCTTAGCCTTTTCTTCTCCTGAATATATCCTACAAGGCAGCAGAGGTTTGAGTTTTGCTTTTCCTAGATGGGCTACCTTCCCAGGTTGATGAGTGCCATCTGCCCCTCACTTTCCTAACAGCATGTGCAGAAAATGCCTTCTTGACCATTGGACCCCCTCTTAAACTTGTCTACTCAATCCAGGGGAGCCTGTCTTTGAATGCAGGGGAAGTCCCTAACTGACTGAGGGTTTGAGACCCATCAGCTACCCTCACCTGGTTTAGCAGGCCAGTTGAAGCCATTTCCCTGGGTGTGGCTGTTGTTACATGCTGACAGCTTCTAGGAGCCATGGATGGGAGTGGAGTGCATTTTATGTATGTATTGTGTTATTCCTATCCCACCTTTCCTCCGAGAAACTCAATGAGGCATGTCCATGATTCACAGCAACTTTATGAGGTAGGTTAGGTTGAGAGCAAGTGACCAGCTCAAGGTCTCTCAGTAAGCTTTTGGTAGAAGGCGTCTAGGAATTTAAATTGATCAGCGCCATTCAATCAGGTCATAGGCAAAGAATTGTATTTAGTATGTGTGCAATGGTATACCACAAGAGTTCTGCCTTCAGGGAACACCTTAAATATTGATAAATCTGCCAAGCAGCCCCTGAAAAATAGGAACTTACATGGAAATTTTAAATGCCATACATTGTGGAGGAAGATCAGTGGTGGTCTTTCAGATATCTTCTAATTTCGGACCCCCTGACAATATTTATGCAAGCATTCTCCCGAAACATTTGTCTCTTTATGTGTGCAACTATGCAGATATGTCCCTGGGACCATGCTATTCTGCATAGTCTTTTCTTCATCTTGCTTCCTTCTCCTGGAGGCTCTTCTCTGTTTTCCCTTCACTGGGGCAGGGTGATATTAATTTTTTGCTCTGCTAGTCAGAAGATTAGAAGTATTAAGATGTATGCGGCATAACAATGCTTACTTTTATTTTATTTTATTTTTTTAATTGGTGGGGAGAATAAACAGGGCTGCTGCAGTGACAAAGAGGGTTATCTTCTTGTAGCTGAGCTATCTTGCAGACACTGCCATTGGCTTGATTTTAATTGTTCCCAGATTTCATGTTTTGCTAAGCATTTCTTTTCTCTCTGTATCTCCAAAGTGTGTGTCTGTGTGTGTGTGTAATCTGTGGGTGCTTGTGTGAGAAACTTCAGATAGCCCTAGAATGAAGAAATATACATAAAAGAGTCAAATTATAGCCCAGGGCTGTATGCCTTTAGGTGATGCATTAACATACCAGTGTAGGCTCAAATTCAGATCCTTCAAGCTAAATTTGACTGGAGTAAGATGCATGCAAGCAGGCAGACACAAGTGCCAAGAAAGTCTTTGGACTTAATTTTAGCAGTGATTCCAAGGTCATACGGATCAAGGATGTGATATAATTTATGCTCGAGAACCCATTTTCTGCCAGCTTCCTGCCCACGTGTCAGCTTACACTCTGAGTCAAGGATACCACAGAATGTTGCAATATTAGTAGGATGGCATTTTACACTCTCTTTGCAAAGGCAAGAAAAAAAGGAAAAGCAAACAGAGGATAAGAGTCTTTTTTACTTTAAAAGCCTGTCTCCCACTTCTCTCTCTCTCCTCACTCGCCCACCGCACCTCCACTTGATCATAACACTTTCCTCAAACTGTTGCTGTCTGGTGCCTCCTTTACAAAAGTCCTATTGTGAAGACTTTACTGGCACCAGCTTTGGAGGACCTTGGGGAATGACGCCTTCAGTGCCCTCCTCCTATTTGCAATTGCTCCTCTTTGTCCCCACTTGCCCTCTTCCTTTGGTTCAGATCCACATGGCCAGACAGAGGGAAAAGGTGAGAGACAGGATGTTTGTGTGTCCTATTTTATGAAGGGCTGTCTGATCTAGCAATAGAAGGGTCTGTCCATTTCAATCCTCTCGGGTTCTCATTTTTCCAATCTTAAATTCAGTTCTCCATATTTCTGCAGCAACCTGCAAATTTCCTTTGTGAAACACCTCACAAAAATCATTCCGCTTCTTCGTGCAAATGGCACCTGACACATTTCTGTGTTATCTTCATCAATGTGTTCATTTCTAAGCACACTTCCCTCTAATCTATGTATTTTTGTAAACATTCTTTGCTTAGAGAACTGCATGGCGAATTTTGGATTGGTGCAAATTTTAAAAGATGGCTGTGTTTCAGTTCCCATATTGTTTTGGAAAGTGTGAATTTGATAAAACTGGTTTTAAGTATTAACTGAATCAAAATTATTTCTCTTGTTAGTCTGATCCAAATCCAGGTTAAATATAAAGATACATAAGAAACATGTGCAAGAACCTTGAAGTTGCCCTTCCATAGTTAGTTGTGGTCTAAACCACAAAGCTTGCCGATCAGAAGGTTGGTGGTTCGAATCCCCGTGATGGGGTGACCTCCCATTGCTTGGTCTCTGCTCCTGCCAACCTAGCAGTTTGAAAGCACATCCAAGTGCAAGTAGATAAATAGGTACCACTCCGGCAGGAAGGTAAACAGTGTTTCCGTGCACTGCTCTGTTTCACCAGAAGCAGCTTAGTCATGCTGGCCACATGACCCGGAAAAACTGTCTGTGGACAAACGCCAGCTCCCTCAGCTTGTAAACCGAGATGAGTTGTCCGCGACTGGATCTAACAGTCAGGGGTCCCTTTACCTTTTAGTGGACCGAACACAGCACACATGAGGGTTCATTTTTCTTCTGTGAAATAGGCATTATTTGGTACCCATGACAGTTTATTAGATTTACAAATGTAAACAATCCCCAGGCTCTAAATAGTTGAAGACTCTTGGCTTAAGTCAAAGACATAGGGCAATATAACTTTTCCTCCCTTAACTAGACCTCTTTCTTTTTCTTTTCTTAGAGTAGGTTCTTCAACCCAAGAGTAGACAGGGCTGCATCCACAGTAAGTATGAATAGGTCTAATTAAACACAGCAGCATTTACCTGCAAGTAAACACACATAAGGCTGTACTGTGAGCTCCTAAGGCTGCACCTGCCATCTAGTACCCAGTAAGAATGAAGGAAATATTCTGTTTAAATGTAATCTGTATGGGAGACATGAAAGCAGAGGAGGAGAAAAAAATCAGCGTGTTTGTGAATGTCAAACATGATAGATGGAGGCTGAAATAAGCAAGCCAGTTTCGAATAATATAGCAATGTGCTGTGTTCCCCCGTTTACTTACGTTTAAATAAGACCAGAGAACCATTAACCCCACAATCAATTTTGGGATCTGATATTATAATAGTAAACACAGCTTGGACTCTGGAACCCTGCATATATTCCTGGCTACCACTAGAAATTTTGAACCTACATCCTGAGAATTCTTGAAGCACTAAAAGAAGTTCCACACATGTCATTTGTCCTCTTTCTGTGATTCATGTTCCTGTTTACCACTGCAACATAACCAAATAGTAACTACCTGTCTTTGCCCACTGACTCATATTGCCACTGATACCACTAGGATTGGACACTGAGGAGAAGTGCAAAGTGCAGCTATGTGGCAGCCATTTTGTGTTACACCATGCTTTCAAGGTAGCCATTTTGTGACTAGTGCCCAGAGTACTTTCTCCAAATTCCAAATGTACTCACGTGCACAGCATTAAAAAGATTTATTTCGGCTATTTTTCAGCCAAGCATGCTTGAGATTCAAAAGAGCCTCATTTGGGCAAATCTGAAGCGATATCTGAACCTAAGAGCACTGCTGTTATCCACAATACTTTAAGAACACAAGAGCATCCAAACAGCCTGTTGGATCAGGCCAAAAGGCCCATCTAGTCCAGCGTCCTGTTCTCACAGTGGCTAATCAGATGCTTGTAGGAAGCCGACAAGCAGGACCCAGGTGCCACAACAATCTTTCCTCCTCTGGTTTCCAGCAACCAGTTCTGAAGCATTACTGCCCCAAACCATGGAGGCAGAGCATGGCCACCATGACTGGGAACCATTGATAATCTTGTACTCCTTGAAGTTGTCTAATCCTATTTTTTAAGCCATCCAAAGGTGGATCAAAACACAGGAGGGAGAGAGAGAAAAACGCTATAAATAAGTCAGAAATTATATCATTTTAAGAGAAGGAAAAAAATCCCTATGGAAAATCCTGTTTTAAAATTTTCTGCTCTCTGGCACCATCTGGTGTTGGGCTTTTGTAACACATTCAAATTGCTGTTGTTGTTTTTACTAATGTAGCTGAGTACCAAGTTGGTGGCCATCACCATCACCCAGTGGGAGCGATTTCCATAGTTTAACTCTTTGCTGTGTGCAGTGCTTCTTTTTCTGGGGGACTGAAGGGGATGCAATACTAGAACCATTCTTTGTAGAAGAAAAGCACTGGTTAAAATGTGGTATTTACTGTAACAACCTCATGGTGAGTACCGGCACCATTTTTTCTGGAAGAAAAGGCACTGGCTGTGTGAATAAGTACTTTCTTTTCTCTGTCCTGAATCTTACAACATACAGCTTCCCTGGAGAGCCACATGTTCTGCTGTTATGGGAGTGAGGAGGGACCTCTCTCGATCTACTTTCTCAATGCTATGCATAATCTTATAAACTTCTCTCATGGCACCTGTTACTCAACTTCTGTCAAAACTAAAAAGTCCCAAATGCTGCAACCTTACATCATAGGAGAGTTGCTCCATCTCCTTCTGGTTGCCATTTTGGTTGTTCTGCGAACCAGGGCAGCAAATGATGCACAGTCCTGTTCAAGGAGGGGCACAGTATCCAAAGCCAGTCAGGTTTCTGAGGCTGATAATCTTACAACCACCTCTCTCTCTGGCTTTAAAAATGCAACAATAATAAGTTTAACAACTATTTGCTGCCTTTCCATGATGGCCCAAACCATCAGCCTGAGGCAGCTGACTCGCTCTGCCTAATGGGAGGGCCACAAACTTCTACACAGGAACACCATTTTTTTCATGCGCTTTTACAACCCCAAAGACCTTCCCTTTATTTCTCCTTATCGCTGGTGAATTGCCCTCTGTATGGTAGTTAGTATCTCCCCGTAGGCTGCATAGTTGAGTTTTGCTTTCCAAAATCAATCTCTGCTCTTTCTTTAACAACATTCCCCTTCTATTTATAGCTTTATTTATTTATTTCCACCCAAAGGCTAAGTATCTGAGGGTGTACGTTACAAGAGAAATGGATGCACTTTCCCCAAAAGATTTCATTACGGGCCTGTTGATTTGACACAACTGTAAATGCAAGGACAGTTTCAAGAGGTCATGGGACATAAACAGAGCAAAGCTTAGTGGAAGGACCACAAAGGGAGGTCAAGTGAAGGTGTGCCTGTTGTCTGTGGAAAGTAAAGGCAGAGAGGAGACCGTTATATTCTCTAATAAGGCACTCGGTACTCTTCTGAAAGGAACAGATGACAGTAAGCTGTGTTCTTTGTGCAGGGGGTCCCAAGTTGGCATTGAGTCTAACATTCTAGACAGTCGTTATGCTTGAATGTGAAATGTAAAGAGTAAATACATGCTTTGCCTGCTATGTCTCCATATACAGTAGCCCTCAAATACTCTCGCCTCAACATTCCCATGTGCCTACTAGAGTCTTCTTAGTATGAACACACTTCCATACCACTGCACATTTAAAATCCTTTACCTTTCTTAAGGGACACAGGTGGCGCTGTGGTCTAAACCACTGAGACTAGGGCTTGCCGATCGGAAGGTCAGCAGTTCGAATCCCTGCGATGGGGTGAGCTCCTGTTGCTCGGTCCCTGCTCCTGCCAACCTAGCAGTTCGAAAGCATGTCAAAGTGCAAATAGATAAATATGTACTGCTCCAGCGGGAAGGTAAACGGCCTTTCCCTGTGCTGCTCTGGTTTCGCAAGAAACGGCTTAATCATGCTGGCCACATGACCTGGAAAAACTGTCTGTGGACAAATGTCGGCTCCCTCGGCCAATAAAGCAAGATGAGCGCCACAACCCCAGAGTCATTCGCGACTGGACTTAACTGTCAGGGGTCCTTTACCTTTACCTTTCTTAAAGAAAACATCTGAATTTACTTGTTCCCTTTTCCTCAAAATACATATTGGATAAAAGACTGAAGAGCACACAGCAGGTTAATGAATAATGACTGCTAACACAACAGAACCTTGGGGCCTCGTTCATTTCTATTATTTCGTTGGGGGCTTGACTTTGAGGCACATGTTATCCCATTTGCTGTAGCCGATGACTGATACGCAGCTCTCGGTGATTGATTAACTGTGCCTCCAGACTGTCACTAGTTTGCAGGAGGCATTCAAGTGCATGTAGGAAATTTAGGTTTGTGCTATTAAAGTGGATTAAAATGCTCCGTTGCAACTAAACAAAATGACTTTTTCGTGGTTAGGAAAGTGACAGGGAAATGGACTGGAAAGCAAATCAGAACGAATACTCCTTGTCACAAACAACATGAAGAAATGTATCAACACACTGCAGGGCGGGGGAAGCAGAATGAATGCTCACTAAAGACTGGACATGGTCTGACCACTGCTACATAAGCTTTGGGCAACCAAATCAGGATGAATGCTCAATAAACCTTCTTACTGCTGAAACCATGCAAATAAGGAAGTAAAAGTAGGTACTTACATTTGACTGCAACACCTTAGTATCTGCACATCACAGAGAGGGAGAAACTGAGCATTAGTAACTCTAACCCTAAAGCCCAACTCATGTTTTACAATTAAAATAAAAACAATGAATTCTAACAAATGCAAAGCAAAACCTTAATGTAATGAAGTAATGTAGTGTAGTAAAATTTTGTTTTAAAATGCATTAAAAACAAGAGCATAGAATTTCTGAGTTGGAAGGGACCAAAAGGGCCATCTATAGTCCAACCCCCTGCAATGCAAGAATCTTTTGCCCAACGTGGGGCTTGAACCCCCAATCCTGAAATTAAGAGTCTCAAGCTCTACAAACTGAGCTGTCTCTGAGTAAAACCCTCAGGGCTCATTCAGACTTCCTTCTTTGCTGCGCTTCTTAGGCACAGGTCTGCCTTTTCTAGGACTGTGTCCTAGTGGTGTTTTGTCCCACCACTTTCCCCTGGAAAATCTGTGGGTTACAGCTGAATCGGAACAAACAGCAATGAGGTTTATGCAGATTGCCATTTGTTGCAATTCAGTAGGAAACAGCAGGTTTTATTCAAGTTAAGTGGTGGGAAAGAAGAAGAAGAAGAAGAGGAAGAGGAAGAGGAAGAGGAGGAAGAAGAAGAAGAAGAAGAAGAAGAAGAAGAAGAAGAAGAAGAAGAAGAAGGATGAATGATGCTCAGACATGGACGCAGAAAATGCAGATCTGGGCCTGGAAAGTGCAGTGCAAAAGGAAATTTAGTTGAGTCCACAGCAACAGTCTTCAAGTAGGATGCAGGTTGAAGTACAATTTACTGAAACTAAAACATACTCAAGGCAGACCAAGGAAGTAGAATTCACTACAACAAAATGTTTAAGTTTCAGAGGATATGTATTTACATTGGGAAATAATTGTGTCATGAGAACAGATTAATAAGCAAGATGTTGGTGCTGACCTTTAAAGCCCTAAACGGCCTCAGTCCAGTATACCTGAAGGAGTATCTCCACCCCCATCATTCTGCCCAGACACTGAGGTCCAGTGCTGAGGGCCTTCTGGTGGTTCCCTCACTGAGAGAAGCCAAGTTACAGGGAACCAGGCAGAGGGCCTTCTCAGTAGTGGCACCTGCCCTGTGGACTGCCCTCCTAAAGAGAAGAACTACCAGACTTTTAGAAGACATCTGAAGGCAGCCCTGTTCAGGGAAGCTTTTAATGTTTAGCAGACCACTGTATTTTAATACTTTGTTGGAAGCCACCCAGAGTGGCTGGGGAAACCCAGCCAGATGGGCGGGGTATAAATAATAAATGATGATGATGATGATGATGATGATGATGACATGCCTAAAGAAAAAATTCTCACAGAATATTTTCACTAGACAAAGACACACATCTTTGTACATGATTTGTTTGCAGATATATGTATGTTACATGTTGATCTGGATTCAGTGAGGGGGACAACCCGTACCCCACCCCAACCCCACTCCCTGCATCCCAGAAGCTGGGCAGAAGGGAGTCCAGTCCAGGGCTTCAAGCAGAAAATATTACGTACCTTATACATTTCCCATTCAGGTCAGTTATTTCCTCTTGCCATTTGCATACTCGCTCTGGTCATTAAAGTAATATAAAAAAGAGAGAAAATGGTGCCTGATAGAATGCAAAGCTATTATGCCTAGAGAGAAGGTAGGTCACATCAACCCCAGGACGATAAGAGTCAAGGTCAGTAAAAGAGCACTGTGTCTCATCACCGCATCCATTCAAATAAAGGAAATGGGATTGACGCTCGTCTCTCACTCCTCCAGACACTCATTACTAACTCAAATTTCCAGTATTCCTTCCATCTATTGCTGCCTCACACTGGACCCCATAGCATATTCTGTCTTTGGTAAAGCTTAGCAGGTGAACGAATGCAGGAACAGAGTTTATGGGAACACTTTAGAGGGTCTATTTAAACATTTAAAGATAGATTTACAGATAGTTGGATTTAAAGATTAAAATCAAAACAACCCAAGTTTCCCAGTGCGTTTTATGCCAAGCCACACTCTTAAAAGATGAGAATTAAATGGCTATGGTGGGATTTCTTGTAGGACTCCATAACAACTCAAAGTGCTGTTTTTTTTAGGTGGGGTGTGAAGAATATGGGGTGCCACATCACCCCCTTCCATTACAGTTCCTTGTATTCCATCTCAAAAATCTAACACAGTAAATCAGGAAATGTTGTAAAGTCTGCATTTTATGATTTTACTGCAGCTAGCATTTGAAATCCTGAAGGCAGCGCTGTTCAGGGAAGTATTTAATATTTAATGCTGTACTGTTTTTAACATTTGATTGGGAGCTGCCCAGAGTGGGTGGAGAAACTCAGCCAGATGGGTGGGGTATAAACAATAAATTATTATTATTATTATTATTATTATTATTATTATTATTATTCAGCATGATTCAGTGAAAATACAAAAGCTTTTGGGCGCAGACATCAGAATTCTTCAGTCCCAGATACTTTTTTTAAAAAAAAATTCTTCCAACTTTTTGTTTAATACGTGCATATGATAAGAAAGAATCATTGCATTCTAAGCAGGAAGGTATCTTGAAGGATCCAATATTCTGTTTCAGTAGGAGGGAGACTGTGAATGCTTCTGCTGAGAAGAACTATATAGATATAAATGGCGTCCTGAATTTTTTTCCTTGTACAGGGCAACTGTAAAGGGAGATTCCTGCCGTGTGCCCTGTGACTGCTACAAATGTTCCAAATCCTCGTGGATATGCAACCTGGAGCCATTACTGCCACCAATGGAGCTGTTATCTACAATAGGCAGGTGTTCATGAAACCTGAGCTGCACACAGTGGCTTTATGAGGTCTTTGCAGACCTCAGACTTACCATATTTACTACAGCAGACTTAGCAGGAACATACAAGAAAATGCACATTACCAGAGTGGTTAGATGGTCTCTGTTGAAATCTTAGGTGTAGTGAACCACACAGAATGACAAACTAAATCATGCACGAGACAATGCATTTTTTGAAGAAACAGGAGGGTGGGGAACCACACAAGTTTTTCTTACTAAAAATATATATATAGCATTGGTCCTTGTGTTTTTGCTATGGGTTCCTTCAGATGGAACAGGGGACCAAGAGCATATTAGTGTAGAGGTGTCTATATTGATTTTAGTCCATCACACTCAGTTATTTTCCTCTTGAGATTCTCCTCTCCATCAGAGATGAAGGTCCAGATGTATCTTGGGGCTAAAAGTAACCAAAAGGTCAGAATATGAGGAAATGGAAGTTTGAGTATAGTGTGTGAACCTGTGTCACATTCAGCTATTATTCACACATTCTTTCAGTCCAGATAATAGCAGCAGACTCCAAAACCTGGGTAGATAAACCAAACATCCAAGTCTGTTCTCCCAGATCCATTCTGGATCTTATACAGGGTCCAATCTGATATTCAGGTTGCAAATGGAACACTCTCCACCATCTCCCACACGTGCTGATCATAGATGTTATGGGGAGAGACCACTTTATTTGCAACATAAAGGCTATTATAACTTCTTGGACCCTGTATGAATCTGCATCTTCTTGGTGCAGCCAAAACCTGCAACTTTGTGATATCATCTGGTGTGATGAATGAGTCTACACTTGTTGCTTCCACAAGTAACATGAAAAGCAGAGTGGCAAACAGGCCATTACAATGTCTGGTCTCCAGGCCCTGACATGAAGGTATGACATTATCATTAAGGGACATAACCTACAGGTGCAATTTGGGACCCAATCCTCGTCTACTTTATGCTCTCTAATGTGCAGAGGACTATGTTTCACGGTGTGCAAATAGTCCTGAGATTATATCTAGAGCAGAAGGGAATCAGGTCCACCTCCATAACTTCTGTCGATTTGTGTTTTGTCTCAGTGCCACAGCTACTTATGTAATAATCCCTTTCCTTGATACTTGGCAAGATGAGCCCATAATCTCCTGTAGTCATAGTGTACGGATGGTGCAACACTTGATTAGACTCATACAGCCATGATTGTTCAAACTGGAGAAAGACATTTAAAATAGCCCTGCAGGAAAAACTAACTCACAAACAGTGGTGTATGAGCTCTTGAATATTCAAGCCACAGACTGTTGTACAGTCAGAGTGATAGTAAGCAGCAACGTTTGGTATTTTCTGGGGGTATTCAAGGGTACACGGTACTGGGACCTTTTTTTTTCTAGAAGAAAAGCACTGGGAAGCAGAATTTGCAGAGGAGGTAATGGAGTTTATCTACTGAATCCAACCTTTGGGGAAATTATGCCACTGCAAACCCTATAACTACTCTGGGATTGCTGGACTTGTTTAGTTTCAGGTTGTTATGTACCGTGGGCAGGCATGAAAATAGCTTTATTCTAAATGCAAGCATCTCCTGAAACCGAAAATGGTGTGGTCAGAGATGCCTCTGAATATGAATAAAGGCCTCACTCTGTATCTCAGCTGCTGCTGCTGCTTCATCGTTAGCCATAGCAATTCATGACCTCCCCAAGAACCCAGAAAACGTTGTGTGACACTTTTAGCCCAAACAATGCAAATTAAGGCAAGCCCCCTTGCTCCTAACCCTGCTTGTGTTTCCAAGCAGAGGGTAGAGCATAATGGGTTCAGAGGTCAAAGTGACCCTTTGCCACTTCTAAGCCATGTTTAGCTTAACAATTTAAAAGGTCAGGTGTCTGGCTTTAAGTGCTCCACAGCAAGCCCAGTTCAGTAACCTCATTGTTTTAAGCATATCTGAGAACAAATTATTGTTGTCATGAGGTAAACCAATATTGTTTACCCAACATTCCCTTCTCTGTCACCTGTGAAACTTCTTTTCTTTTAACTTAGCTTCCAAATCACACACACATGTCACTTCCTGGGAGAAAGAGCTGCAAGGGTCATAGGCAAAGCAACTACAGTAATCCAAAGCTCACATTGGATTAAATCAGACATTATTCTGGCCATCTCCTTCTCCCTTATCCTGTCTGGCCATGTCTGGCCAAATCCTAGATACCCAAATGCACTTCTTCCTTCTCTTTATTTGTCTTGTAGTTGAAGCAACAGGAGGAGCAACAAAGGTACATGGTTAGAAGAAAGGGAGTAGGGTTTTTGCCCTTGCGGGAACTAGATTTTTCACATCCCAACACACTGATGCCCAGCAAAATGGAGAAGAGAAAAATATTCTCTCCTCACATGCCTATGCTCCAGTCACAGGTTCAAGATAAAGAAAGGGAATGAGGGGAAATTGAGAGGAGCTTGCATTCAGGAATAGGGGAGGGTGGCCGAGATGGAAGGATAGAGCTGGGAGTTCTTATCTGGCTTGGATTTGATCTGAGCTGAAAAAGAATTTCAGAGCTTCTCATTTGAGGTG